GTGTAGTTCCAACTGTAGCATTCAAACAGACATCTGCGAGATACCGTCGTGGTTATGTGGGTTCATCTAGCACTACCGCTCCAACTCCGGCGTGGCAGCAAGCGATGACAAATGTGAAATCAAAACTAAATGCACTAATTAGCTTATATGAAAGGAACATAGGGAATATCCCCGAGGAGTTTGCTCACTTATTTTCCACTCCTCCACAGGTATAAGTTCTTTTGCTACAGTAAAATTTTAGTTACTTGCTTTTCTTATGGTTCTTTTTTAACATAAAGTGGTTTCCTAATTCGTGTAGTTGCCTTTTTGGTGATTAAACTCATTGATTTCAATGTGATTTATGTATATCCAGTCCTACTACTTCAGCTTACCTGTTAAAATTTTAGTTATTTGCTTATTGACTATATTTTTTCTTCCTTTTTTTCAGGCACCAGATTTAGGAAGTGATGCACCAGTTGAACCAAGAAGATCTTTAGATGAAAGTAACAATGATGATCGTCCAAGTGTGAATTAGTGATTATTTTATAGGGTCAACTATGGATCTTTTGGATATTACTGTGGAAATACACTTTTAAGCATTAATATTTGGATGATGTAATTTTGGTATACTTGTGTAAGTGTGAATTTGTGATTATTTTGTTGGATCAACTATGAATCTTTTGGATATTACTGTTGAAATACACTTTGAAGCATTAATATTTGGATGATGTAATTTTGGTATACTTGTGTTTTATATAATGAATATTTTTCTTATTTAATCTTCTATATTGGGTTTAATTGATTATGAAGTGCTACAGAAGTTTCAAAGCATAGCATTCAATAAATAGGACTCTAAATGTGAAAAAATAGGATTGTGAATAGACTGAAGAGGGAAAAAAAAATATTACGGTGGTTTAAAACTGCCTTAATATGCAAAAATAAAAGCCATATTAAAACTGTTAAAATACGGCGGTTTTTAAATGTAGTTACGGCGGTTTGCCCAAAAACGCCATAATATAATTTTGGCAGACGGGATTGTGGCGCTTTTAAAAGCCGCCATTAATGTGTATTACGGCGGTTTGAAACTGCCATTATATGCTAAAATAACCGTCGTAATAATCACGTTTTCTTGTAGTGAGGGCTGCCCATTTCAACTTTACCCTATCATAAAACCAAGGAGAAAAGTGAATGAAAGATAGTGATTTCTGTGAGAGATTTTAGAAAAGGAAATAATCTGACATTGACATCTGGTGCAACCGTGCATAGTTTATGATTCAAATAGTTCTTCCTATTTTAACTCAAGCAAACGATAACTCCAACTAGATGGGATTATAAAGTTAAAGAAATCTTTCAACTGGGAAATGAAAACACAATCTAGACAAAGGATAAAATGTAAACATAAATAATCAGTTAACAGAGTTGCATCAAGTAAAAATGAATGCAAAACCATTACATGTTTCAGTCAGTCAATTAAACAACGGAAAAGGCCTAAAAATGCCACTCAACTTTCAGAAATGGTCTATCCATGCCATCCGTTAAAAAAATTTCCATTTCATGCCACTGCCATTACACATTTGGCCCATCCATGCCATTATTGACTAACGGCTAATTTTTTTTAATATTTATAACACCCACATTTCCTCGGGTCCTGTGTTTATTGGTCCGAATTAACCATATCCCCACTTAAATTTAACCTTGGTTAGATCCACCTACCCAAACCCGACCTGATTAAACAATACCCAAATCATTAACCAACCCAAACTCTTCATACCAAATCCCCTTCTCCTCCGGTCGTCTTCCCAAGATGTAAAAATGTGGGCAAAGAAGTAATTTGGAGAAGAAAGAAAGAAGTAGTTCCGCCGCCATATCGTCCTTAAACCAAGATGGAAAGCCAAATTTCTTCATGCGTGCGGTGAGAAAAGATGGAAGGTTAGAGTTGATAGAGGTGAAAGTTGGTCGGCCCGAAACTCTCCTTGCTTCTGGCCAAGATGGACGACTGAAATTACATCTCATTCCTGATGAAGAAGAAGAAACAGAAGAGGAAAACGAAGATTTCCCCCTAGACGATGAAAAAGAGATGATTGAAACAATTCAAGAAAATGATGAAGAATTACTTGAAGTAGAAAAAGAAGAAGAAGAAGAAGAAGAAGAAGAAGACAAGGTTGCAGAGTGGAAGTTTCCGGTGACAAGCGGTGGCAGGGAGATGGTGTTCGGAGAAATTTCCATGTCTAATTTCTGGAACTGGAAAGGGGGGGATTTGGAATGGGTTGGGTTGGGTTTGGTTGGGGTTGGGTTGGGGTTAGGTTGATTAATGGGGTAATAAGTTAACCGGGGTTGGGTGTGGGTTAATCGACGTAGCCTAGGTTAAAATAATGTGGGGCATGGGTTAATTCGGACGAATGAGGACATTACACGTGGAAATTCTGGGGTTTAAAAAAATTTAAAAAAAAAAGAATTTTGTGCCGTTAGTTCATTAATGGCATAGGTGAGCCATATGTGTAACGGCAGTGGCATGGAATGAGCATTTTTTTAACGGATGGCATGGAAAGACTATTCCTGAAAGTTGAGTGGCATTTTTAAGCCTTTTCCGATTAAACAATCAACGGAAAAGGCCTAAAAATGCCTGTCAACTTTCAGAATAAACTACTGATATCCAATAAGTTCATACTCATCTTTTATCAAATTAGTTTGCACTTACCCAAAAAAGAAAAATAAAGATATAATGACTATAAAGTTGTTCAAGCATATTAATGCTTACTAGTTTCTCGCACACGTGGTTGCACGTGTATCCCCATTAATTTGTACAATATTTTAAGTATGTCATAGAGATTTAAAAGTATTTGAACAATAATTCAAGAGCTAAAAAAATAAAGTTTCATGTTCAAAATGATGAATGCTGATATCACATGGTGAATATGCAGCAAGGATCTCGCGCATAGCGGAAGCTTAGTGCACCGGGCTGGCAACAGATAAATTTGAATGTTGTCTTGGGCCTATCTCTTCTTTCTACGTCTTTTTTTGTTTAACTTTATGTTCCTTCCCATGTCCGATTTGGGCGACATGAACCTTCTTCTTTTCCACTCTAATTATATTCTTCAACTTCAAAAAGCACTACAAAAGAATTGGTTATTGTGGCGATTATTTTTGTGTTTAGTGGCGGTTTGAAACCGCCGCAATACGCTCTAATGGCGGTTTTCAAAAACGCCATAATCTGTTTGCCAAAAATATAATACGGCGATTTTTGCTGCAACGCCGTAATTGTAGTTGTATAAGTTGGCGGTCTTGCGTTCTGCATATTTTGCGGTTCGAAACCGCCGCAATTGAAATAAACTGATCCTACTATTCTGCTCTCCTTTTGCGTAATTTCATGTTTAAATTTATCCAAAATAATATATAATATTTTTATTCTGATATGCTATTTATTATTCCACGTGTATATCCGTTTATCACATCCTATATTCTTAAATTTGTATAAGCTTAATAATAATTTTGACACATACATAAAGGATTAATAATCAAAATATGAGAAGAAAAAGCAGAATATTCCTCATATATCATAAGCACTCCAAAATTACATTAAATATATTGTTTCAAGGTGTTACTCAACAACAAAAAATACAATCAATCCTAACTGCATTTCGCATTTTTACTTCGTGGGAAGAACTCCTTGGCCTGTTGGTGATAATGGAGCATCACTTCAAACATATGATGCCTGCAAGAAAGGAAGTATCTTTTAACCTTAATCACTTTAGTTTCTTAGAAAGAAATAATGGTAGAATATAAACCTTTTCACATATTATTCAACAGATAAAGCCACAACCAAAAGAACATTAAACCTATATAGCCACAACCATAAGAAAATTAAACCTTGTGCTGCACTGCAAAATATAGAGAAAATTCTACTATATAACCCATAAATCCAAACTATTTACCCTTAGTTTCTTAGAAAAGAAATAATGGTAGAATATAAACCTTTTCACATATTATCAACAGATAAAGCCACAACCAAAAGAACATAAAACCTATATAGCCACAACCATAAGAAATTAAACCTTGTGCTGCACTGCAAAATATAGAGAAAATCTCACTATATACCCATTAAATCCAAACTATTTACCCTTTAATGCACATGCCCAAACTATTTACTATTGCTACCCATGAGGCCCAAATTAATTACCCGCTAATTTTCCAGCCGCAACCTGCAAACAAAAGCCGAGCTAGAAAATCATCTAACTTTTCTTTGGATTTTCTTCTTTTCTGGCATGCAATTAAATATTTAAGGGCTTTAGTTGTTGAGTACGAACTTTAATGAAATAGTTCCCGCAAACAAGGAATCTTGAAAGAGAACCTCAAGTGGTGAAATAGAGATTCAAACTCTAAAAGAATATCCTTAGTTTTGTGTGGCAGTAATAATATTTGTGGGTATGGCATTTACAGAAGTCTCTGGTCATTTACGTCTCTGGTCCCATGCTAATATCATCCTTTGAGAATCTTTCCATTATCCACCATTGTTGGGCTTGAAGCTCAATTGTATTTTTGAAGATTTCTTGTTTGATCCAAAGTGGGTGCTGTTAAATATTGCTTATAGTACCTTCTGGAAGTTCATACTGAAATTTGATAGCATTTGGAGCTGATTTGAGGTGATTGAGATCGAAATTTTCAGTTGAAAATCGAAGAAGAACACAGCTACAGTATACCGCTACGGTATACAATATGCTGTAGGAGTATATAGCTATACTGCAACAGTACACTATTATAGTTTACAAAACAGTATACCGCTACAGTATACTAATATACTATACGAGTATATAGTTATACTGCAACAGTATATAGTATACAATATATTGTTATGGTATACTGTAATAATATGCAAGATACTGTAACAATATGCTGTAATAGAATACAATATCCTATAATAGTATCCTTATTACCCGTAAACTCACTTGTCTTTTCCCTTTTAATTTATTCTAAGCATTTACCCGGGGTGAGGGGCATATTGAGAATGCAAAAAAAATAAAAAATTATAGTATGCTATATAACGTAACGGTATACTCTTACAATTGGATCCTTTTAGATTTTTTTAAATTTTTTATTGACAACTGATATTATTTTAGTTTAATAATTGAATTAATTTTTTTAACTCTTTGCGTACAATTGAATACCATTTTGGTATAGTTATATACTATACTGGTATCATATGTTAGTTAATATTTATTTGGTTGTATAAGCTACATTTAATTGGTATATAATTTGATTTTTATTTAGTAATAATACAAAAAAAAAGAATAATAAAAAATAGTGAAAACAGTAAATGAAATTAGATTATGAAGAGAAAAAGAATATAAAAAAAAAGAAGTTAAATGAAATTAGAAAAGGAAAAAGAAAAAAATAAGAAGAAAACGAGAAAAAAGAAAAGGAGAAAAGAAAAAAAATAAAAAAGAAAAGAAAAGAAGCATAGAAATAAAAAAAAAATTGGAGAATAAAGAAAAATTTCCCCACAAAAACCTACTATGGGTAGGAAATGTAATTAGTTTATGGGTAGAAAAACAAATGGGTAGACAAGGGTAAAAAGTTTTGTTTTTGTGGGTAGTGTCAAAACCCCCAAAATATATAATGCATTGCAATAACTGTTTGGGTAATTGTGACCATGCTAGTAGTTGTCATTGTAGTAGTGGTGCCGAAACTCG